AACTCGCCGTGCGTAAAAAAATTTCAACCAGTGGAGTCGTCACTTTGTTCAGTTTGCGGCATAACACTTCACTGATTATACAAATAGCGGCACCTGTGTCGACAAGAGCAGTTGTGGCGAAACCGTCCACAAACACGGCAATCTCGTTAGGGGGCGATAGATGAGGCCTTGGAAATTTCGTCGGTGGCGCAGCTCTTGCCTCAGGAACTGCGACTGTTAGTTTTCCTCCTGGGCGTGGTTGGAACGGCGAAGCATGGGGGAAGGAGACCGAAGATGGGGTGAAGGAGATCGACGTCGGCTGAAGTCTGGTCGACGTGAGCGGAGGTCATGTGAATCAGGTGTCACATGCGATTCTGATGGCCGAGGTATGTTGCCGGAATGCTGCACATCATTATAATAGAATCCACGGCGACGACAGTAGCGCGCGACATGTCCTGGAATACCACAGTTGTAGCAGACGGGCCGGTTATCCGGAGTACGCCAAGAGTTTACAGGTGCTCGAGGTGGTGGAATGGGCCGATTTACCGGATAAACTGAAACTGGTGACCTGTAGTAGTTGGTGGCTGGACTGTATGAAGGGAGCGGCGGTTGGGCAGGAGGTCGGCGGACGGCTTCTGCATAAGTCAGCGGTGCAGCCACTGATATTAGGGATGTGGGCGAAGGGAGAGCCTCAGCAACTTGCGTCTGAATAGCACGGCGAAGTGAGTGGTCCAGTGTTGTGGGGGTCTCGTTGATGGTGGCGACAAGAGAGAGCTGTCGAGCAACTTCCTCCCGGATGTACTGTTGAATTTGAGGCATTAACATGCTGTAGTCGGAGCCACTGCTTTTGCACTCCAAGGCCGAAATATCAGCTGTCTGCGTATTAGCGCGACGTGTAGAAACTCGTTGCTTGTGCAGCTCATCGAAACTTTGACATAACTGAATCACGGCCGTGACGGTCTGTGGGTCTTTGGCCACAAGCATATGAAAAGCGTCGTCATCAATGCCTTTCATTATGTTCTTTATTCTGTCAGCCTCCGTCATCCTGGCATCAACTCGCCTACAGAGGCTGATCACATCCTCAGTGTAGCTCGTGAAGCTCTCACCATTTCGCTGAAATCATCCCCGCAGTCCCAGTTCAGCGCGAAGATTTACGCATGGCTGGACGACCGAAAAACTAGGTGACGGCCTCTTTGAAAACCGACCAGGTGGGGATGTCGGCTTGGTGGTTGGTGAACCATAGGTTGGCCAAATCCGTCAAGTAGAAGATGACGTGAATCAGCTTCGCAGGGTCATCCCACTTGTTAATCCCACTGGCATGCTCGTACTCTGCCAGCCAGTCCTCGACATCTTGATCTTCAGTGCCGTTGTATACTGGTGGGTCACGCAGACGAAGTACACCAGAACACATGACAGGTGGCAGCGTGGAAGAGCCTTGTGGGGGATCGACGCGCTCGGTCATCGCGGACTGAGATGGTAGCTTACGGCTGCGGAGCTCCAGGACGTTACCCAGCACGTTTCCACCAAATGCAACGAGCAAGGTTGCGTAAAAACACAGGTTATTATTCCAGAAACGTTAGCCGCAACAAGCTGGTACAGGCAGGAACCCGGCAAGCACAAGCACGAGCCACACACGGACGTCAACGTCTTCTTTCACGCTGGCACAGAGCTGGCGCCACTATGCTTCGATACAATATATATATATATATATATATATATATATATATATATATATATATATATGCATGCATACATGCTTTGGAAAGTTGTTGGATGTTGTCTTCTTTCTTGTGTAATTGGACATTTCAAATTATTCGTGCCTTACTAGTGGTTATTTTCTTTCTTGATTGAGGGGACAGGGTAAGCAAAAATATTGAAAAATAATTTGTTTCTTTTTGTGTTATTTGAAATCTGCAACCTTTTGTGAACTCGAATCAGTGGTTTCGTCTTAGTGCGATGTTTTTTTCTCTCTAACAATGACATATTTCAAACCTCGTGCAGCGGCTTGCCATGCCCCCATTCATAAGTAGCAAGAGATTTCTTGCAGTTAAAGCATCATAGCTATATGGAGACGTTACAATTTGAAGGCTGGAGTGCATTTGGCACATTCAAAAAAGAATGGGCCCAGAACTGCAGGAATGAAAGAAAGCAGAGGCATCAAGCTCTTTCTATCGGGGAATCTATACCTGGTCTAGGACGTCTTAGTGGTGTCATCATTGTCAAGCACCAGAACTAATCATTGGGTCATTAAAACAGAGCCAGTGTGGAGGAGACGTGAAAAGCTGTCCAGTCTACATAATTTCTCATGGCTTCAAAGGATACCAATCAATCTCACGGCCTTTGCTCGAAGGACGCCGAAACACGGTGCAATTTCAACAAAGCCCTGTAGAATGGTGAACCATTCATTCTTAAAAAACACTTTCTAGCATCTGTTATTGAGGCTGTTAAGCCAAATTATCTGCTACTAGCTCATCCAGAATTACTTGCTAAATGCCTCTATGGAAAACGCTAAACTCCAGCGAATCTTTGTATTGAATCTTTGGAGCACGTTCCAAAAGAAAGGTTTTCCTCGGGCACCAAACACTCCAAATATGCACTCTTGATGCTGTGTTCACTTTTAATGATGGCAATATAATCAGTGCTAATGTGCTGAACTATTTTGGAATTTAGCCAGCTCCCTGCACAGTGCAGGGGCTACGCACTCTTGAACTGTGTCGACAGTACTGTGTTGACTAGGCTGTATAGCAGGTGACAAATGAGGCTCGCCAAGCAAGGCGCTTCAACACACACACACACAAAAAAATGATATTGGTGTTGAATATGTGGCTGGTTTCTATTCAAAGGGTTCGTCAGTTTGGGTTTCTGGTTTCTATTCAACGGGTTCGTCAGTTTGCATTTATCTCGTCGCACTTTTGAAATATTGCTGATTCTAAGAACATGCTCAAATCATGCATCTCAAAACATGCTTTTTTTGTACTTATGTTCCTTTTTATCAGCAACCACAGTATATAGAATGATAGTATTTTGATAATGCAATAGGGAATATTCTGAAGCATAATTCATATCGAAGCATAAAAGGAAGTGCTCTTTTGCAACACGACATCTAGTGGCTATTATCAAGTGATAATTAGGTACCTGCAGGAAAAAATTTATGAAAAATGGTATTACCATTTTTATTGCTAAATCAACTTGAGTAAGAAGAGGAACGACTTATGGTCACACTGATAGTAAAATAATTACTGTAGCTCTTCTGGTTATGGAGAAAAAGGTACATAAACTTCGCCTAAAATACATGGCCGGTTTAGGGCTTACACTATTCTCTAAAGGGGCATGCACGTGATGCAGTAGTGCCAAACATACAATCTTTGTGTGACTACATTAGTGCAATACTTTGCGGACATGTTCACTGTGCCTGATGCTTATTTTTTGTGCTACAATGCCTCTGCATTGCGTGCACCCTACTCACTGTGGTAGCTTAGTACGTTGGGTGTCGTACTGCTAAGCTCGAGGGGGTTGGTTCAATTCCTCATTGCAGCAGCCACAGATCGATGGGGGTGAAATGCAAGTAACACGTGTGTGCTTAGATTCAGGTACACAATAAAGAGTCCCAGGGGTCTGAAAGCCACAGATCGATGGGGGTGAAATGCAAGTAACACGTGTGTGCTTGATTCAGGTACACATTGAAGAGCCCCAGGGGTTTGAAATAGATACTACGAAATTCCCCATTGAAGCCTGCCTCATCATGATATTGTCGTTTTGGCACATGAGACCCTAGCGATTATTATTGCCAGTATTCTGTGAAGGGACCATTGAAGATGTATAAAGAAGCACACTCTCAGAGAAATGTTCAAGCAGAGCAACACACATTTGATGCAATTGCATTTTCGTTCACGTCTTATACATGTTTGCTTTTCTCTGTGCTTGCCTGAGCCTGCATTTATCCTCAGCTGGCCCTTAAGGGGAAGGTGGTTGAGCCGTGCATATCATTTACAAAGCAGTGCCATCTTTCTCTTTTGCTCTTGCCGCACAGCACGGTTAGGCTTTCAAATATTCTGGTTACCATGTGTTCTTGCGTAAACCTGCTCTTGCACGTAACTCGCACCTCCTATAACAAACTGCCTCGCCATGGTGGTCTAGTGGCTAAGGTACTCAGCTGCTGAGGCGCAGGTTGCGGGATCGAATCCCGGTACGGCTACTGCATTTTTGATGGAGGCGAAAATGCGATAGGCTCGTGTGCTCAGATTTGGGTGCACATCAAAGAACCCCAGGTGGTTCAAATTTATGGAGCCCTCCACTATGGCGTGTCTCATAATCATATGGCAGGTTTGGGACGTTAAACCTCACATATCAATCAATCCAATAACAAACTGTGAAAAAATAAAAAGAGAAAGATCTCCATGTAGTGTCGTGAAGCTGTCTTCTTTGCATTTTTGTGAAGCAGTGTCATGGAGCCCACTTGCACATCAGAATTAACATTTAACCCGCATGTCTACATTAGCTCCAAATTTTCTGTATATTTTGTGTAGGTTTTACCAGCCGAAATACGGTATATGTGCTACGTCCATTTAGGTTTTGTGGCCGAACGTGGCCCATATTATGGCTGAATATTTAACTGAATATAAGGCGGGATATTTTTAAGCCAAAGGGGTTGGTGCAAGTGTGTTCGTAAGTTGGTGCTGTTTATAGATAGAACTCCAAACTCCATCTAACCTGTGTCACGAAAATGTGGTGATGCTGTGGTCTGGCGTTAAGCTTTGTGTGGGAGGAAAAAGCTGCTGTCCCCACCTCAGCTGCTGCCGTGTTTTCAATTGAATGAATGAATGAATGTTGGTGAAGGTGCCACACTCACCTGCCTATATTTGTGTCCTTACCACATAGTTTCTTGAATGAACTTTCCTTTCAATATAGTTTTGCGTGGTAGGCAAAAGCCACTGCGCCTATCATTGTTTACTAACATATGTCTATAAAAAGTACTAAAGCTTTCGAAAGGAAGTATAGTGAGATAACTCTGCTCGTTTCAGTTTGACCCCCTGCTTGCTACCATAGTGGGGCAGGAGCTCCTACCTCCAAGGGACCGCATCACTGAGCCACTTCGCAAAAAAGTGCTCTTTACCATTTCGCTTGACGACGAATATCAAGTTGTCTGTCTTGGAGGCTACAAGGGACCCCACAATGCTGTTTTACATGAGGTATAGTGCAAACAAGTTCACCTCTTGTTCGGCATGCTTCCACATGTATATAGTGCACATTGACAGAGAGCACGTTTTTCTGCTCAACTGATATTTTCACTATGTTTTCAATATCAAGAAGTGTTTTCATGCTAATAGCTTGTTGTTCCAAACATTTGTCTGGCCTCGTGATTTGCCAGACGCTGGTTTTTAGCCACTAGTTGTGAGTGCTGTGGGACAGGACTGCAGGTTCTGCACATTTCTTTCTATCATCCTCAAGGTGGACATGCTGTCTTATAAGAGTGTAAAGGTCAGCATGGCCATCTGCTTAAGAATTAGGCCACTCCTCTCATTATTTACGAATGTAGTGCACTCACCCGTGCTTGCTGGCTGGTATTGTGGGATGCTTTTTTCATGATGAAAATGTGTGTTGCCGCCACTTTTAGAAGCAGTTCGGGCATATTCTCTGAAGCTGATGTGGCAGAAAGTCCGTCGTGGTTCCTCTTAATTGTTCTGAAGCTGCACTGTTCTGCAGGCAATGCATCATTGCTTCACTCTTTTCTGGTGTCTGTATTCACTGGATTTTCACTGTTATTCACTGTTATGTGCATGTTTAAGACATACCGCATTTAGTCTATTGTAGCCCGAGGCCTGGCTTTTCATTGCATCTTGGAAAAAAGAAAAACGCAAAAGTAAAATGTGGGTAGAGCTTTCGTTGCAGCAAGCCGAAAAAGACTGTCAAACTAACGAGAGGCCAGTGGAGGTATGGTAAAGTGCATTTTTTTTTTAAAGCAATGTTTGAAAGCGTAGTATTTCGTACGCTCCCACATGACGCGTTGAACTTTGTTCATGGGATATTCATCTGCCGAGTGACATCGCTCACTTTGAACTGTACCGGACCAACACTGACTGCCACAAGGCGACTACACTGTCCTGTGACATTAACAGTGACACACTGCTCTAATTCAAAGTGTAGCGGCTGTGACGGAGCCCATGGAAACCTTTTTTACCAAGCTTGCGCCTGTAAAGAATCTCCTGCTGGAGCTGCCACTGGCATATGTTCACCTCGCGTTGAGTCGTCTGGCAGCTGCTGGTTTCTTCAGTGATCATAATCGCACGTCACTTGAAATGGCCGTTGCACTAACCATGACACATTCCCATCATGAGGGGGGCCCAGAATGCAACCAAAGCCACCGAGATCATCACGCAACGGCACAGAAACAAACACCAAGTGCATGTTGTCACAGAAAAAAAAAAAGGAAGAGAGCGGTCATTGGCTTCTGCTTGATCTAAATGGTATTTGGCTGCCATATGTTGCCAACTTAGATTGCGGAATTGCCATAACCATAGTCGTGATCATTGTTGTTCTTTGTAGATGACTTCAATTTCGGTATTAAATTGTAGCAGGAGGATTGGCATCAGGTAGCAAAAATAAAATGAAAAAAAAAAAAAAAAACGCGCTACATTCGTGTAAATACGGTACGTCTAGCATTGAAGATTTATTGAATGGTATTGCTGTTCTTAGTGCTGCATTAGTTTCATTAGCATTCGCTACACAAGTCGTGCTTGTTTCTGCTTTTGCACAGCCGTGCACACATGCTGTCAAGTAACCCATGGTCATTGAACATCAATATACCATACTACATTCCTGCAAGACAGGACTATTGTTCAACAGTTTTTGCTGCTTGTTTGTTAATCCAAATAAAGTTGCCCTGCTTATGTCATGCATTTGTGAAAATAGGCTGCTAACGTGTATCATGTCCGCATGAAACTACGGTTTGCCTAAAAATTGTGTTTGCTGTCAACTTCATCATAGATAATAGAGCTGTGCGAATAGCAAAATTTTGGGTGTGAAGGGAACTTGAATATTGAAGTGTGAGTCGGAATCAAATAGAATATTCTTTGAATATTCACGAATATTTCTAGAATATTTTTTGAAGATATTTACTTTGAAGTGAAATTACAGAAAAAAAATGTTGCAGACAATTCCTAAGCATCTTATGAGCTTCATAGTTCTCTTAACCAAGAATCAGGCTGTGCAGGGCAGAATTGTATTTATGTACATGATCTGATGCAACCAAAGTGTTGCCGACAACACTTTAGACAACACTTTACACGTGAAAGACAAAGATGCTATTTCCTCAGCCCCCCGCCCTCTTTGACTTTGGTGGTAGAAGGTGGAAGCCCAACTGATGTGGCGGACAAGGATGTGCTCTCTTCAAATCAGCCTCGTAGATGTCAATTTATTAGAACACCTGAAATTTCAGATTTTAAAAATCTTTGCATCTAATTTTATGGATTTTTTCCCGAAATTTTAGGTCCAAAACAACATTTAGCCCTTATCTATGCCACATCAATCATGCCATGATGGAACAGCGTTTTCTCGAGCCAATAAATTTGCAATCGTGGCAGAACCTAAGAGGCAGCTTTGCCTCGATACAAGAGGGTGATGAGGTGAAGCATATTAAAAATTTGAAGTGGTCAATTTAAATTAGATTTTGATTAAAAATATGTACTCAGACTTAACTCAACAAAATGTATTTTGTTGTGTTAAATCGGAGTATTTATTTTATTTCGATTAAAAATATGTACTCAGACTTAACACAACAAATTTGTTATGTTAAATCAGAGCACTTATTTTAATTATGAACTCACCCGACTAGCTTAATATTCTTGCATTTTAATTGGACGTTGGCTGTACTTGTCTTTAAAAAGTTTCACTGTAGCGGAGCCTGAAAGGCAGCGATGCTGCAATATGAAAGTTTGATGAGGTTAAACATATTGAAAATTTGGAGGGGCCACTTTTAATTAGACTGTATTTATCATCGGGAAGTTCAAATAGTTAGAAGAATAAGATTCCTACTGTGAATCAAATTGAATAGCAAATACTCTTCAAAAAATATTTGAAATTTTGAATATTCGCACACCCCTAATAGTGATTGCTCAGTTTTAAAGGCACATGGTCAAGATGATGTCGTGTGTGGGGATTATTGCAATAATAATGCCAATAAAGACACATACAGGCGTGAAGAAGTCCAATATTATGGTGAGTGCAAATAGGACACTGAAAACAAGAAAGTACACAAGCGCTGTCTAACAACTGAAAGTTTCATGGAAGAAAGGTGGCATATATGAACAGAAAAGAACGAATTAACAAAACTTTATCTGCCCTAGCCAAGCATCTAATCACGTATGCTTTAGATATAAAACCTCAGCATCTCTGAGAGTAATTGAAGGCTGGCTCACATACTTGTATTTTGCTTTTGTTATTTCAAATGCTTCTGCGATTTTATGTGTGCACTGTGGTCTGTCCCTCACCACTAGTGCGATTTTGTTTAGCTCAGCTGCACAATCGCATTGCCAGCAATTGAGGGAGAGATTCATGGAGGAAGGAGGCTGAGGAGAGGCCCTCGCAATGCAAGCTGCAAAGCAAAAACTGTGGCAAAATTCACGTGATTTTGCATGGAGGTTGTGGGACTAGGAGGGCACGCCGACGTCTCGTGTCGTCTGCATCACCACTTGTGTAACTGCGTTGTTGATAGCTGGCTGGAGTTCGGAGCATACATTTTTATGCAGCTATTGCACCTCGCAAATGACGCAATGTGTCAGATGCCTACAGTGAGAGTTTGTCTTCACGGTTGTGAGTTTATTTTATAACGCTTGAGGTCGAAAGCGGTCGTTCTCGAAGCTCGTGACCACTTCTCCAAAAATTATTGGTGCCGCAGCTTCGCTGTTTTCCTTCGTCAATGTGTTTGCGGGCCTCAGCAAAGGAAGCCTATAATTCTAAGACGAGAGTGGCAGTGTCTATGGCTCTTAATGTGAGAGGCGGCGGTGAGCCGTTCTCGTGTGCAACGGTCACAACTTTCGGAAAGCACTATGTGGCCCACTGTTCTCTTTGGAGCTTGCAGATTCAAGAATTAGATGTGCCTCACACAGAATGTGCTTTATTGTTTATATTATCACTTCCTGTTGATGTTTTGCCCATGATAACCTTATCTTTGGCCAAGCTTTTTTCGATATGGTCGCAGTCTGCTGACCTGCACGCGGCTGCGAACGACACTCGTGTGCATGAATTGTGTCATACATGTCAAAGAATGATTCCGAAGTACTTCATCTGGCTAAATAGCAAGACAAATAACATTCCACTGTTACATTACGTTCCATACCCCGAATTTACCGTATCTGCAGAAGAAAACAGCCTGTCGTGGCGATTATCCGGCCTATTCGCGCCATTGCTCTCTTGTGGATTAAACACAAAGTGCAAAGCTGCAAGTTTATTATAGATTCACAATGTGAGTTGTAATGAGGCTGCGAATGGCACACAGGCACTCCACAAGCAAGTATCGCAGCACGTTTTCTCATAATCAGCGCAAAAGTTTCACATTTCCAGATCGTCTTTCAGATGGCGGCGGCGGTACCCTCTGGCGCAATCGAAGTTGGCTTGCACTGCTCTACTCCCTCTCGCTGGTGCCCATTTGCACATGCGTGAGCCGCCATAGCTTGCCGTACATTGCGAGGAAGAGTCCTCTACTCTTCCCTAGTTCCGGCTTCACAAAATAGGACGTAACAGCCTCTCCACAGTTTATTCTTTCCTCCATTGACAGATGCGTGTGTAGTATACTTTTCAGAGAGCTAGTGTGCTCTCTTAGACAGTGGTTGAAACATTGTCTCTCTGCCTGATGCATGTATTACCACATGGCAAAGGGATGGAGTGTACCACTTCACTGGTAATGTCGGCAATATGCTTAGAGTGCTTTATAAAGCATATTTCACCCCCTTTTAAGCATATTTCACCGCCCTTTCTTATAAGCATATTTCACTGCCCTTTCTGCATCCGTTTGTCAACTCTGTATGCACACTTTCTAGTTTTTGCCAGCATAAAAGACTACATTTACGTCACAATGTATAGCTACCTTCTTCAAGGGTTGCTAGACGGAGTGCAGATATGGGATAACTGCGATCCTCTTTTCGCCTACCCGAGGGCCAAACAGCAGGATGCCCTTTTTGTTCCCTCCTCAAGC